TAAAACGACCTCAATCTCTCATCAACCCAAAAAGGGACCCAAAAGCATAACAAAGCACAATATGAGGAGATCTAGACATTTATAAGTCAAGGTAGGAAACTTGATACCTCAAAGAGACTGCAAACAAATGGAAAGATTCTGGATCTATGACCTTCCTTCCAAGCTAAGCACCTTCATCTTCAAGTTTCCTTTAGAAGGAGCAAAATAACCACAAGAATCCACTCAAGGCTCAAGAACACCACCAAGAAGCTTAAGGGGCGACTTAGGGTTTTAGTGTCAATGGAGGCTGGTAAGGAGACCAACCCTGAGGCTTTAAGAGATTATATAGGGTGCAACATCCTAAAAATTAGGGGTTTCCTTCCCAGCTTCCAACACGCCGTGTTTTGGACACAACACGTCATGTTGACCTTAATGAGAACGCGCTTTTCATTAACTAGACACGTCGTGTTGGTTCCTCCAACACGCTGTGTTGGTTCCTCCAACACGCCGTGTTGGTTCCTCCAACACGTCGTGTTCAAACCTCAAAATGGATTCATTCCATCAATTGGTCCTCAAGATTTCGGGTGTTACATTGTCTAGTTGCTAGTTTTGAGGGCACCCAAAAAGGATTGTGCTATTATCAATCAAGTATATATACCAATTATAGTTATGGGCTTAGGCACCTAATCCAACAGTATTTTGTTTCCACTGCCAGGAAATGGAACATGGGAGGCGTAACTGTCCAAAATATCTAAAGAAAATGTAGACGTTTAAAACCAAGGAATCTAGCAATTCAAGTATGTTTGTAAATTCATAGCACTCTATCTTCTAACTCATGAGAATTGGGCACATGATATAGTATTTACATATGTAGTAATGTGCATGGACTAAAGTGAAGTAGAAAGTTAGGACACAGAGAGCTAGACATTATCATAGACAATGAGAAAACTACTACTTTCGATGATTAGAACAATAAATTCATTCTGTCTAGTGTTTGATCTATGAATTTGTTGAATTGTTGTTATTTTCTTGATAAGGAAAGATAGATTATCTAATTTCATACTTTGTAGAGATGGAATTAAGATATTGAAAATGGTTCTAATTTTGTTTATAAAATATTTTCTTTATTTCATAGTAAACCATTATCATATCATCTATGAAATTGGCATAGGAATAACTACAAATAATAGTTTAATAATGATTCATTATATCCAAAAATGGTTTGGATAAGACGTATCTACGACATTGTCATCTTTGCCATATAAACAAGAAACACATCGTGAAACTCCAAGAGATTTTGGAATCATTTGACGAAAAGTCTTATGATGAATTTGAATCTTGCTTAGGAATAAAGATTACAAAAGCGACATTCATGGGAAACTATGAGCGGATCAAGAATTTGTCAGAACTAGTACACAATGATGTATGTGGACCGTTCATATCAACAACGATACAAGATAAAAGATACTTTGTTACCTTCATTGGCGATTTTAGTAGGCATGGTTATGTTTATATGATTAAAATTAAGTTTGAAACCTTTGTGGTGGTCAGGAAATTTTAAAATGAAGTAGGGAATCAACTAAGTAAAATAATTAAGATTCTTATATCTGATAAGGGTGGAGAGTATCATAGTCAGGAATTCAACGATCATCTAAGGAATTATGGGATGGTCTCGCCGTTAACTCCACCTCGGACACTGCAACATGATGGTGTAGCCAAGAGGAAAAATAGAACACTACTTGTTATAGTTTGATCCATGATGATTCACACTACACTTCCAGTCGACTTATGGGTCTATGCCTTAGAAATTGATAAAAGTATTAAACCTTGTACCAACAAAAAAAAATGTTTTAAAAAAACTCTTTGAAATATGGAGTGGAAATGCCTGGTTACTAGCATGTTTAAAAGTATAGTATAACATGTGTATTTCTTTTTTATAAAACGATTTTGTTTTATTTAGTTAAAATTATTTAACTTTAGAAATCATTCACTTTTAAGCTTTTATAAAAGTGCTAGTTTTAATTTTAAACAACCATTAAAATAAGAAACATGTAATAACATATAAAATATACAAGTAACGATATCACCAACCTCAATCCTTTGTGTCTCTTCTTCGAGCCATCAAAGGAGAGACAATTTGTACTAAGGATAAAATGACACTTCAAAGCTCCCACTTGATCAACCTCAACCCTTCTCGAACTTCATGGGACTCTAAACTCCTAAATTCTCTTCATGGTCTTTGGTTTTCACTACATTATAATTTTCAATTCTGATACAAATTTTCCTAACTAAACTATTACATTACAATTTTAAAAAATTACATATTAGCAAAGAGAAAACAAATGAAAGTCACAAAGACCAAAGTTACAACCAAACATGCAAAACATTTGTCAAGTTAAGGCTCAATTTATTAGATCCATACAATTCAAAACAAACAGTTATTTGGAACTTGAATTACAACTTTTAGATTAAACGAATAACCATAAAGTTTAAAGCAAGTTGACATACCATTGTTTATATCATCTCGCATGCAAGAAATCATCCAAACAACAATGTCTTAATATTGACTTTAGTTAATAATTTATAATTAAACAATGAAAATAACAAGCAATGTGATAACCAATTTTGCAAAACCATCTTATTTGCATGAATTTATTATTCTGAGTTAGATGCAGAAAGTGATCACGCATACTCATATTAGAAAAATCAAAAAATCGGTTTCCGTGAACAGTGACTACCCTCCGCGTGTCAGAAGGTAACACGTCGCGTGCAAGCACGTGTTGTGAACCAAAAGCTACGCGTTACACTCCACGAGTTAGGTTTCGGGTAATCCAGTTGTCGACGTACTACGTACACAAAGTCGATGCAGGGCATAAAAGAGGAAGAAACGGTTTTTGCTCAAACCTTTTTTCGTTTTTCAAATTCAAAAAGGTTTTAAGACTTTTAAAATTTACAGTGGCCTAGTCTAATTAGTCCACTAACATGAAAATATGGTTAACACACACAAATTGGAAATCATGTGCTATAGACGTGAACAAGTGGAAGTAATATCACTATTAGGTTATGAGTATACAAAATCCACAAAGACACATAATGGAAGCATATAAAAACAGATCTTGTGAAGCTAATAGCACATCCATGTTCAGCCAATCTAAAAAAAAAACTATAAAGGGGTAAAGATACTTACATTTGTAGCATTTGATTTTTTGGTCTAGCCAGTTGATCGGATGTGTAGAATCCAAAGTAGGATCCCCTGATTTAGTCTCACCCAAAGATCAGTTCATCAACCTTTGATAAGTTTGGATCAGCCAAACACCAAAACCCCAAATGATTAGGGTTTGTGTTCTTCGGACGCGGTATGTGGACGAGGCAGATATTGATTTTAGAAAGGGTTAAGAGGCAGCCGAAATTCTTAGGGTTGTATCACTTCGATTGTTACTACATATTTATCCATAAGATTTTACTTTCAAAACTTTAAACTTAAGCCCCTTAAGTCTACAAGTTTATGTTAATCATATAAACACTTAATTAATTAACAAACTGGATCCCTCTTATTCTCTCATGTCATTTATTGTTCATACGTGTAACCCACAAGGATTATGTCATTAATAGTAATATTACCAACTGTTGTGACTGCGGGCACTACTTCTAACAAAGACTCTCTGTCTTCTTCACCAAAACATCATCATCCAACAACTACACAACATCGCCTGATGCACAATTTCCACCCGGATTCAGCCAACAATAGAAAGCGTTTAATGTTGTTGACTCACCGCCTCATAGACAACGAAATGGAAAGAAAACGACATGCATCCTCACAACCTAATGAAATAGGTGATCTCGTCAACGAAATCGTCGGCATCCATATTCAGTCTGCATGATCATTTGACTCATGTATTCTGTGAACTATGATTGCAATGAAACGACAAATTGCAGCAAAATATGGTTGAGAGTTTTAAAATTTTATTTTAGAAATTCGGGAATTTTTATTATCACGTCTTTTTTCATTTAGACTAGTTTATTTTTAATTTTAAAAAATAATTTATTTTATTTTATTTTATTTTTAGTTTTTAGTTTTAAATTAAATAATAAAAGTTTAATGTAAAAAAGAAAATGAAAATTGAATGGATTGGAAATGACTAAAGCCAATGACTTACATGCATTATGTCTCAAAATGCCAAAATGACTAAAGCCAACGACTTACATTAAGAAACTGAGGTGGTGAATCTCAAACCAGGGCCCGATTTAGAAAGGCTGTGTAATATTTTTAATTCTTTAAAAATGTTGTTTTATTATTGTATGAACTCATTAACATATTTATTAGACATATATTATAATAGTTAAAGTTAATTACTTAAATAACTTATATATAAGGTTTTTCGACACTTAACTTTACTTTTTTTTTCTCTATTTGATCCTTATATTTTTCATTTTTATCAGATTAAATCTCAATTTTATTTATTTATTTTTTCTAAAATATCTTACATCTTTATGTAAAACAGAAAAATTACCGATAAAGCTCCTAAAATGATCAAATAAAAAAAATAGACTTTTTAGAAAAATTAATATATATATATATATATATATATATATATATATATATATATATATATATATATATATTCTTTTATGCAATTAATATATAAAGTTTTATCAGCATTTCATACTGTGATAATAAGCGAAAAACAAGACACCAAAATTCATAAATTATAACGTCAATATCATATTTTCATAGAGATAACAAGTTTTTCTAGGCCCAGTTAGTACTAGTTAAATCTGTTACATTCCAGTTTAGGTTTCTTCTGCTGCAAATATATTAAGAATATCACAAAACATAAAGTATTTTTTTTACTGTCATTGCTGAATAGATTTTTCAAAGCATAAAGTTATATAATAAGAAGGATTAAATTAAATTTTCAAAATTCAGAATCTCAATATGAAAAGAATTAAAAATAAAAATAAAAATAAAAATAAAAAAAAGCAACTATCTTAATTTACAATAAAAATAAAGGTAATAATAGTCACATTACGACCTTTTTTTCCTAACTATAACAAAAATATCGACAAATTGTTGAGATTTATATTTTATCCAATCTGTTTCAACTACTAATAAAACCATTGAAATAAACATATTCATAAGAGAATTCATACCAACTACTAATTTCCTTTCTCATATCCAATCATATTCTCACTCACTCATGATTATGAGCTACTCAACTTCTTCCTGTATGCAAGAGTCTGTAATCACATAAACAAAAAAAAAAAAATGTATATGAAGTCAAAAGTAAGATGGTGTAATAAACAAATAAATGAAAGTATGATGATATTTGTTGAAAGGGTTTAAGTATGTTACGAGATCTTTGTGAGGTGAATTTTTTGCAACATCCAACAAGGTTTGATGCTCTTCCAACAACTGCAACTCATCAGTCAAAGGATTTATAACAACAGGCTCAGGCTGTTCACCAGATGAATGATCCACTTTCACCAATAGTAGCTCAATCTCATCATATTGCAAACCTTTCTCAACAGCAACATACTGAATTCATAAAAATAAATAAATAAATAAAAACACACCAACTTCAGCTACTTAAAACTTAAAGAGGGATACTATCATCCAAACACAAAAGTGATTTTCACTGCTATAATTAGGTATATTTTTCAAAATGGAAAATGTTATAAATAGGTAGATTTTTCAAAGTACAATATCTTTATTATTTTTACAATTTGAATAATTTATTCGATAGCTTTTTACTTTAAGTAGTAACTGGTAACTCCAACCACTTAGTAAAATCTAACCTTTTAATCATCTTATAGGTCCTTGTCTAATAACATTTCATTTTATACCCTAGTGATATTTAGATATTATATCTTTATTATTTTTTTGATTAGTTAATCTCTTTAGTTAAACATACAAAATAAACAAGAATATATTTTATAAAAAGAAAAGATATATCATTTAAATGTAATTAAAAAAACTTTCAAAATAAAACAAATACCAAACATTATAAACCTTTGCAATCACATAATAAGTTATCGTTTTTTATTTTATTAATTTAAAATTTAATAATGTCAAGTAATGTTTTTTTTTGGGGAATATGAAAGATTTTTGTTATAAGTTAAAACAAACAAATAAAAGTAGGTCGCTATTTTTTGCATTTAGCCCAATCTTAAAGTTAAAAAAAAAAAAAAACACACACACACACACATTTGTCACATTGTAAAGTTGAAGAAAATTTCACCTGGCCAACATGTATGATTGGCATGGTTGGGGTGCAGCAAAGGTATAGATGTGGCATATTGGGTATATTTTGTTCATCCAAGGAGATGAGCTTAAGATGAATATCCATCTGGAAAATCAAAAAAAAAAAAAAATTAAATTGGTTTAGGATGTAATTACTTATGTAAACATGTTTTTAATGAACAGTTTTATCTCCTACTTTATACATAATTTTACCTTATCATTATTTTGTGGCAATTTTCGAAGATGATCCATAATCTTGGAAACCCTACTGTTCCTTGTACTCTTCCCACCACTATTACTTAAACTCCCATGCCTTGTATGACTCCTAATGCCACCTCTACCCCCACGCCAGAATCTCTGAACTGCCGCCAATCCCCGCCGATACCACCGCCGTTTCCCTGGTGGTTTCCACCTCGTTGTCACCATCGGCACTACTTGACGGCAACGAAGAGCGCGTCCCACTCCCACCCCATCTCTTGTACCTCTTTGGTCTTGGCTCAGTACATGGCTCAGGCTCAGGCTCAGGCTCAGGTTCAGGTTCAGGCTCAGGCTCATGCTCATCGCCAGAAGATGAGTCTTTTCCTCCTCCATCATCTTCATCATTGTCTGATTCTTCTTGGGGTTCAGATGATTTCCAGCTTCTTCTTCCTCTTAGGTTACGTGTTGTGTTTGCCTGTGATCTTCTCATGAATACTGCAGCTGTCGCTTTAGCGTTTGTACGTTTTTTTCCTAATGCTTCCAGTTGTCTTCGAGATGTTTGGGCAATTGAAGCTTGGATCTGTGTATATGGTACAATATATTCCAGGAGATGTGAGTAAAATCAAAATATGAAACCATGTTTCATTTTAGGGTTTAGGGTTTACATCAGTTAAATGATTATTTATGCAAGAATGCTTTTTGTAAAAACATATCTTGATTTAGGAATCTTATTTATTTCAATATAGATATATAAGGAGGATAATTTTCCTCTTATTCTTTTTGAACTAGAATTCCAATTATAAGTAAAGAATAGGTCGATGCAACCTAAGAATAAAAACAAATAAATAACTATCTCACCTGCTTATTCCGAGCTCTCTCCTCTTCATGAAAGGCAAACTCCTGCTTCCAGACATAAAAGCAATAGTAAGTTTAACAAAATATAAAGCCCCCATTTGTTACACATGTTTTGTACCACTCAAAAAGATGGAAAATACTAGTCTGTGCAAAAGACATAAATGCCCTCCTCATCTTCATCATCAAAAACAGCCCTAGAAAGCTTGTCTAGTACTTGGAATTTGGACTAAATATCAATTTTTTCCCACCCAAAAAGTTGATACAGTGACTTGCTTTCTTTTCTGTGCAAAAGACATAAATGCCCTCCTCATCCTCATCATCTAAAATAACCCTAGAAAGCTTGTCCAATACTTGAAATTTAGACTAAATGTCAATTTTTTCCCACCCAAAAAGGTGATACGGTGACTCGCTCTTTAGTCTGTACAAAAGACGTAAATGCCCTCCTCATCCTCAACATCAAAAATAGCCCTAGAAAGTTTGTCCAGTCCCGTCCAGTACTTGGAATTTGGACTACATCTCAATTTTTTCCCACCCAAAAAGGTGACACAGTGACTCGCTCTCTTTGTCTGTGCAAAAGACGTAAATGCCCTCCTCATCTTTATCATCAAAAATAACCTTAGAAAACTTGTCTAGTCTCGTCCAGTACTTGGGATTTGAACTAAATGTCCAATTTTTCCACCCAAAAAGGCGATACAGAGACTCGCTCTCGTCTATGCAAAAGACATAAATGCCCTCCTCATCCTCATGATGAAAAAGAGCCCTAGAAAGCTTGTCCAGTCCAGTATAACAAAAGCAGCCAACATACACCAAGATAATGAAAGAAAAAAAAAAAAAAAAAAAAACCTCAGCCTCATATTTATCAATATCAGGATACAAAACTGCAATGAGGGCATCATAATTCGGATCATCCCTTAAAGATCGACGGCTTGCACAATGAGCACGACACGCAGGGCATTCATTGTTCCTGCCAGGTGTCAGTTAATAAAAGAAAAGCCTTTTTCCAAAATAAATAAATAAATAAATAAGAGAAGTCATTAAATAGCATTTGCAATGATTTGAATGTGTACCCGAGTCTCATTGATTTGTCTATGCATTCCCTACAAAACCGGTGTAGGCATTCCATAACTGTTCTTGTCTTCCGAATAATTCCTGTTTATCAAAGCTTGGTAATCAGTTTTATCTAATATACAACAACTAACAATTGCTCTTTTTAGGGTTTAGAACATTATACTTTGAGAATTCTATCTGTATTCAAATAGTGAACTTTTGCTCCAGTATACAATTATCACAAGAAGCTCCAAAATCATGCTTACATGTAAATATGTAATACAGTTTTAAAATGATAATAGTAAATTAGTACCTAAACAGATTGGGCATTGCACCTCCTTGCGAATTTCAGCTAGTTTTACAAGGACAAATCTGGAAAAAACATCCCCACAAAAAAGAGTAAAATCTACTATGAAAACATATAATGATATAATACCAGTTGTTATCTGGATTAAAATTTTTATGGATTTAAATGTAAGAAATAGGAAACTTACTTTCGTTTATTTGTTTATTATAGCATTCTACTTTCATTTCTTTCTATTAATGTAAATCTACCTAATTATAGCAGTGTCATATAAATACAAAGCAACTTTCACTGATATATTTGGCTAGATTCTTCATAGTACAATGTCATAATAAGAAAAAAAAAATGAAAGAATAATGAAATAATAGGGTAGATTTTCAGAGTGCAATGCCTTAAAAAAGAAAAAAAAAATGGAAGTATGATGCTTAATAGAAATAAATGGAAGTAGGATGTTGTAGTAAACAAATGTTCATAGCCTCTTCTTAATCATATACACATTCCTAAGCTATATTATATGTACATTATGGGATCTATATATATACATATATGAATGCATATGTAGACATAGATTTTCAACATCCTTCATATGAAAGATCTATAAACTTCTAAATATTCATAGCCTCTTCTTAATCATACAATATGTGCATCTGTGTAAATTAGTGTGGTAATGTATTATTTCTTACACACGATAATTAACATTAGAAGTATATGCATTCATAGACAGAAAAATGTTTCTATTTATTTTAAGTATTAATAAAACCTTCTTAGTGTAACAAAATTTTGGTTTGTTATTGTTATAACTTCTAACATTATACAAATTAATATTGTAACGACTTTTATCTAATTTAACAACAAGATATTAGTAACTTAGCTTAACAACAGATTCAGGTGACTATTATGTGTTTTGGGTTTCCCAATGACATTCAAATTCAATAAGAATCAACCAGATGCAGATCTGAAATTCTGAATACATTCTCTCACATATATGATAGTTGAACTAATCCTTGATAAATAAAGAATCAATGCATCATTGAAAAAGCAAAGAGCAGGGTATCCCGAAACTATACAGTTATCTTTAGGAGTGATAGAAACACAATAGGAAGCAAGCTATTATGTACATATGTTCTCCAAGAGAAGCAAATGAAAATTTGAGAAATATACATTCTAATTGCTGATCTTAAAAGACATTAAACGGGAACCCCACTTCACATCTGTTATAAAAACCTTAGAAGACATGGCTTATAACTGGAAACAGTTCCACTTTGCCTCAAAAAAAAGTACCAGGGTTTCAAGAGTTAGAATCTTCTTAAGTTAACATCTAACTCTGCCCTATTTATGAAATATAGAAGGAAACAGATGCACAACTAAACAGAAGTTAATCTCAACTTAAATCACAGATTCACAGCGCCCTGAAACCAAAGCAGAAGACCCTCTCAATAGAGACCTTTATAATTGCTCTAAACCTATGACAACTAAACCTATAAAACAATGTTAAACGCAATGAAATCTATAAAAAGAGCATACATTCCACCAAAAGAAGTAGCTCAACAATCACCATCAAAGAATGGTCAATCTCCATTTCAATCAATGCTCTTAGTAAATATATCTCACATCAGCAATAAAAATGCACTATTTTCCATAAAGAAAAGCTATAACTTTCTTTTGAGGTTGAGCATATTGCTTTTTGGTGCAATATTGATATGGATTGTGTTGCTAACTTAACACTGGCACTTGTTTATCAACTCAACCAACTGGGATAAGCGTAGCATTCTTTGTTTCCAATTAATACATCCAAACCCATCCCTTACCACAATTCTTAACCTCGCTACTTGAAAATATGCAGTATAATCAGAATTCAGAAAGGGCATTTTGAGAAGATAGTTCAGAAATGTATCATAAATCTAGGGTCTGGAAGGTGCAAAACTAAAACCGCTAATTTCCATTTTACTATCCACATGATTCGCATATTCACGGCATTCGGCCAAATGGTCGCTCAGATAGAACTAAGCAGTGCGTAATGACAGAAAACGACTGTGTAGTAGCGAGTTCATACATCACAAAATAGACAACATGCAGATCTCGAATCAAAAATTGATCGTATAAAAGTCAAAAACACGCTCACAAATCACAGCATATATAACTCACGATGCAAGAAACAGTCACAGAAAGATATAGATACATGAAGTGTGTACAGAAAGAACTCACTCGTCCTTGTCACTGCAACTAGAGGAGGCGCTTCCATCATCATCCGTTTCCGCTGATCGAACAAACAAAAAATGAAAAGATCGATACAAATGCGGAGTAGAAATCACGTAATCTCCGACAGATAAAATCCCATTGAAATAAATAAGTAAACAAATCCAAAATCTCCATAAACAAACCTTGCTCATCTTGTTCTACGTCTTGGTCATCGTTTTCTTCTTCGGATTCCTCGTGAATGTTCTGATTATTACGTTGCAGCTCAACATCGTCGTCATCGTCCTCATAAAGAGCTTCGTGCGAACGCTTTTGTGCCGGCATTGACTCTACTCGCCGCCGATAAAACTCACCGGACGGCGGGCGGAGAGATAGATTATAGGCTACGATGCAGAGAGGGAGAGGAATAGCGTAGTGGTCTTTCTTTTTTTTGGCCGAATTACCTTTTTATATATTTCTTTATTTTATTTTATTAACCTTGAGTTATGTGGAAACAGATCGACACGTTGGCATTTGGAAGATTATAATTCTTCCTTTAATCTCCGGTAAAACTAGGGATGCCCTTAGTTCCGTTTGATAGTTTCTATTTGGAAAAATGTTGTCCGGTAAAATATTGTTTGGGAAAGTTTTCTGACTGGGAAAGAAAGCATGTTGTTTGATTGTACATCTGATTGACTGTGCTGAATGATAAAAAAATAATAATTCAATAAAAAATAAATTAAAAAAATTTATTTATAAAAAATTAATAATCCAATAAAGAAATAAAGATGCGGGTTTTGGTGCATAATTGTCTTTCCAGCTCATTCAGCTAGAAAGATATGATTTTGGGGCTTTATAGGAAAGACATATCTTACCGGGAAAGACCCATTTTTTTGTGCAAATCAAACAGTCTTTCCGGTCCATTCAGCCAGAAAGATCTGTTTGGCCCTAGAAAGATGCATATCAAACGGGGCCTTACTTTAATTTTGTTCAATTTATTAAAAACGAAACAAAACATTGGTAGGTAACAATATCAAAATAAACTTCGATAATTCGTATACAAATACTTTTTAAATATGTAATTTGGATTCGTATATGTTCATCCTAACCTTCATATTACATGCCTAAACACATACATGATGTACTAAATATGTTTCAATCTCCAATGATATGTTTTATACGTTTTGATTTGCATATTAAATATTTATTTATGTTTTAAATTTATAATACTGATTTATTCTCAACCGGCTAAAATACACTAGTCAGTGTACCTAATTGTACAGCAGTATATTTGTGGCGACCAAATATTGAACACAAGGAGAACGGGTATGATTCATTTCAGATAATAAAGTTGTTTATTAAACTAGAAACAAGAAAATAAATTAGGTGGGTGTGGGTTTAGGGGGAAGGGGTGTTTAAACTAAATTAATAATTTAGCAAAAGCAAACAAAAATAGAGAATGATTTAAAGTGGATTAGTAATGTATAATCCTTTGTTTATGAGACTATAAGTAAAAATATAATACTTTTTAGCTGAGGTAATCTAAAGAAAATTGTAGTTGACTCAAAATATGAACGTGTGAACATAAAGATCATTAAAAACCAAGTTTGTATGAAGAAGAAGCTCGATTCGGATCGTTGTATATTTATTTTACATGTGATCCCTTTGATAACTTTTTGTACTGGATTGTTAATACAAGTGTACGCCGAGAGGATTTATAAATTAAAAACTGATGATTTTTTTATATACCTTGTGTTAAAAAGCGGGTGTTACTGTGACATCCCTCATTTTTTAGATGCAATTATATTTTTTTCTTAACACTTTAAAATATCATTTGTCTTTGTTGCGGAAAAAATCTCAGTTAAATAAAATATTTTTAGATAACAAATATTGTTTCAAAATAACAAAAACATTAAGGATGTCATAATTAAATTTCCAACATAGGTTATAGCGTAAAGACATAAGGTCCTAAATATTATTACAGACTTGCTTCTTATTTCACTCGGCCTCCTAACTTAGATTTCAGCAGCCTTTGTATAGCTACGTATGATGTATTGTAACAACCCGGTATTTTAGAGTAAATAAAAGTCAAACCCTCTAAATAAAATTCGAGTTTTGTTTATTTTGTTAAGATTATAAGGGTTAAATATGATTTAAAATATATAAATGGTGTTTTTATATAAGTATTTTAATGTTTGGAATATAACCACTTAGACTACAAACACAATTTTGGAGTCAAAGTAGGAACCGAGAACATGCGAAAGGTCCTACTCTTCGAACCGAAAACCCTATCGAGAATATACTAATTCTTTTTTGTATTTTCTTGATTTAAGTATTTTTTTAAGAATATCATTGTATGTTGTGGTTGAAATTTTAATTTAAATTAGATTAGATTCATGTTATCGATCATATGTTATGGAAGATGATATATATAATATTTAATTAACTATTGTATACATGTTTGTATGTTCATGTTGCTTCAAAACAATAACTAATTAAAAATCATGGATATGTCATATTATCCATATTATCTATGTAAGCCTTTTTTAAAATGCAAATTGTCTATCTTATCACTTTATGTTTTAGTATATGTTTAACATTTTAATTATAATAAGAAGTGTTTTTTAAAAGTTTCTTTCACTTATTAATAATAACAAGCGGTTTTAAAATTAATAAGCAATAATTATAAATAATAAAATCAAATTACATGGATATGTCATATTATCCATGCAAGTCTCTTTTGAAATGCACATTGTCTATCTTATCACTTTATTATTTAGTGTATGTTTCACATTTTAATAATAATATTAAGTGTTTCTCAAAAAGTATTCTTTAACTTATTATTAATAATAAGTGATTTAAAACTAATGAATAACAATTTTAAATGATAATAACATCAAATTATAAATTACATTTAGCTATAAATAAATTGTATTTTAAATGAACATCATTGTTGAAATTAGAAAATGAGCGCATAAGTAAAATATAATTAATCAATAATAATAATTGTTAAAAATTATACTAAATAGATAATTATATTTAATTCTATTAATGAGGAATATGGGTTGATGTCAATGAATATTATTGTTCAAAATAATAACATTTAGCTATAAATAAATTGTATTTTAAATGAACATCATTGTTGAAATTAGAAAATGATCGCATAAGTAAAAATATAATTAATCAATAATAATAATTGTTAAAAATTATACTAAATAGATAATTATATTTAATTCTATTAATGAGGAATATGGGTTGATGTCAATGAATATTATTGTTCAAAATAATAGAGATTATATATAATCTCTATTATTTTGAACAATAATATTCATTGACATCAACCCATATTCCTCATTAATAGAATTAAATATAATTATCTATTTAGTATAATTTTTAACAATTATTATTATTGATTAATTATATTTTTACTTATGCGATCATTTTCTAATTTCAACAATGATGTTCATTTAAAATACAATTTATTTATAGCTAAATGTAATTTATAATTTGATGTTATTATCATTTAAAATTGTTATTCATTAGTTTTAAATCACTTATTATTAATAATAAGTTAAAGAATACTTTTTGAGAAACACTTAATATTATTATTAAAATGTGAAACATACACTAAATAATAAAGTGATAAGATAGACAATTTGCATTTCAAAAGAGACTTGCATGGATAATATGACATATCCATGTAATTTGATTTTATTATTTAAATTATTGCTTATTAATTTTAAAACCGCTTGTTATTATTAATAAGTGAAAGAAACTTTTAAAAAACACTTCTTATTATAATTAAAATGTTAAACATATACTAAAACATAAAGTGATAAGATAGACAATTTGCATTTTAAAAAAGGCTTACATAGATAATATGGATAATATGACATATCCATGATTTTTAATTAGTTATTGTTTTGAAGCAACATGAACATACAAACATGTATACAATAGTTAATTAAATATTATATATATCATCTTCCATAACATATGATCGATAACATGAATCTAATCTAATTTAAATTAAAATTTCAACCACAACATACAATGATATTCTTAAAAAAATACTTAAATCAAGAAAATACAAAAAAGAATTAGTATATAACAAACTTACAAATTAAAAACATCAACATAATAACATGGCTTGAAAAATTGTCCAAAGCCCTCAAACCAACACAAAAAACTTTAAACTTATTTTCTTTGTGAATTTTGTATGTGATTTATATTTGTGTGTCTACTCAAAAAATTGACCTTTTTATAGTAGAGTATCCATTAATTGTTTATTAAATATATTATATAAGTTATAAAACCTTTGAATTGTTAATCATAATTAAGAGACTTTTGAGTGGCATTCATTAAAATAGGAGGTTTCAAATGCATGAGGTGTTTGCAAATTTTTATGGGGGTTTCAAATTCATGAGATTCAAGGAAAAATGCTAGCTTTATAAGTATGTATGATATATATATATATATATATATATATATATATATATCCGGAAACATAAGTAATTTCTCACTTTTTAAACCAAAAACACACTCATTTTTCTCTCAAGTATCATCCAAAAATCTTCAAATCTTCAAGTGAAATCCTTAAAATCTTCATAATTTTCACCAAGAACACCAAGAACAATCTTCAAATCTTCAAGCTGACCGAAAACCATCTGGACCGAGAACCACTAGACCGAAATCCTTTCTGACCGAGAACCCCTCCTTAATCGAAGACTAATTTCGGTCAGTACCGAAAACTCTCCTTTTGGACCCACTTTCATACCGAAAACGCCTAGGACACTCCAAATAATTCCCATTAATTTTTGTAAGTATTCCTTACATAAATTAAGTGTTGTCTAACACTTTAATTAATTTTTTCACTAATTTAAATACGATTACGTGTTTAAATATTATTAGGATACGACTACCTTTACGTATTCTAATCCGAAGATCATTGTTAGCACTTCGCGACTCAACCGAGCACACAATCGATGTGAGTTCATACCCCTACGTTTTCACGATTTTTAAATTGTTTTAGGGGGAATACAAGTAAAACACAAGCAATCTTGTGTTTAAAAATATAAATTGCTTATTATATTTTCTTACCGTTGATATGCTTTTGAACGTGAAATTTACTAAATACGTCAAACACCGTTACTATTAAACTACAAAATATCTTAAGTCGCAACGGTTTTTACATCAAAGGAACAAAGGAACTATTTTACAAACTTATAAACTATAATAGGTATAGTTTATGGAACAAAGGAAACTATTTCACAAAGATCATGTTACAACACGGAAACAAACTTATAAACTATAATGGGTATAGTTTATGGAACAAACGGACTATTTTTACAAAGTTACATGGTAGTTACTAAAAGGTTTTTCGCTTTATTACTCGTAAACTCGTTGAAGCAATTTGTGAGACACCTTCACGTACTTATCTAAGTACCAACCAA